AAAACCCCAAAACCCCAAAACCCCATAATCTTAAATCATTAAAATAAATGAGTTAAGAACAATTTGAAATAATCAATAAAAAACTTTAAACTCTGACTTGATTTATTGCATATTTGAGTAAAATCCATAAATTGGAGCCCTACAATTCATGGTCAATTCATCATTTTGATTAAGTTTAATGAATAAGTAAGGTTATCTAAAATAGCTATTATATTAGTAAATCGACTAATAGTAGAATTAATAATCTTCCCAGGAAAAGTTATGAAACCCAAACTTGACTTTAATAAGTTCTCTGAATTCAAGATTAATCATGTTTAAGCTAGTAACACTTTCATTAAAGTGAAATAATGCAAAAGGGTTCTTACTGAGATTTTTATTTTTATCATACTTGCTTGCCTTCAAAACTAAATCATTTTTAAGATTTGGCAATTCGTTATAGAAAGAAAATCTCATTCTTTTATAGTCAATGGTTTATATATAGCTAATTTTTCCAAATATTGGGTCAAGTATTCTCATGATTCTGGTTAAATTATGCTGATATAACTAGAAAAATCTAGGTTCATCCATATCAGGTATTCCATTAATTATCATAATTTTAAACTATTTAAAAGTATCTTGGCGATAATTTATTTTGCAAAAATTGATACATCCATTCTGCAATATTACTATTTTATTCTAGTTAATTTTACTAATTTCAAAATGATCTTAAAATATTATATTAGGGTATTCAGGTGTCCCTACTTATTTAATTTATTTCAATTTCACCTAAAAATCTTTGCTTATAGAAATAAAATTCAAATGATGTTCTAATTTATCATCAACAACAGTTATTCTTGCTATGAGAAATATATCTTTTTTCATTTGTAAGACCTTTTAATTGATTTGACTGTGAAATGGAATATTTAATTAAACCTTTTTTATTATTTACTACTCTTTTATGATTATTAATTCATTGTGGATCATTCCTAGAATCAATTTCTTGAATTTATCTTTAAAGATTGGCTAAACTCTTATTTCAAATTAACTATTTAAGTTATTTAACTCTAATTTTCTTAAATTGATTTCCTCTGCAAATAAAATCTTTCTTTCTACTAAACAGAATACATAGATAATTATTGTTTCTTCAACAAAGAAATAAATGTAATTCTCCATTTACGCTATCTGATATACTTAATTAGTAGATTATACAAATGTATCTATAACTTAATCTACTGAAACTTTATCATTAATTATGCCTCTGAAGTAATCTGGAGTATCTTTTTTCGCAACACAATTAAATTCTTCAATGTTTTTTATTTCTTTCAAAAATGTTCGAGATAATTTTTCTAACTTTGTGAGATACTTAGATTTTATAGCTTTGCTTAGTTGGCCAGGATACATTATACTTATCTAAAGAATCTCATTAATTATGATCTGTCTCAATTTGTGTAATTGCTTCAAATTTCTTATAATAAACAACATATCTTTTCTCTAAATTTAATCTTTCTAAAGGATTCCATAGAAAGAATATAATTTTTCAAAGTTATAGTATTTTTCCCCTTTATCTATACTAGAAGATAGTTAAGTTATTGATATAAATAAAATACAATGGAAATATTTAAGGATAATGCTTGATCAGGACTTTAATTGAGTTATGAACTGAAATAGTCATTTTAATGATCTTTCGTATATTCAAAGTTATAGTATCATTTGGTAATTTTTTGCATTTTCTGCACATAATTTCTCCATCTAGTGGATTGAAATAGAATTTGCAGTTAATCTTTAAAATTGGACAATTTTTAATGCATTAAAACTTCTAGCTAAAATTCTAATCTCTAAGTGCTTTCATTTTATTTAATTATATTTTTATGATTACTTTCAAGTATTAATTCTAATGGGGTTTTGGGGTTTTGGGGTTTTGGGG